ACACTTAACAGGATCGAATTATGTATAACACAATATGTGAGATCAAAATCAGCAGAGTAATTTGAGTCTCTTTTGAACTAAGGGAAAAAGTGAGCTGGTATTACCGACCGCAGCGGGTTAACATGGTGCTCTACATTGAATTACACCTGGGCGAGACCCCCTTCGAGCAGCCCCCCCACCCCTGCTATAAAAAACATAATTATAGTTGATTTTAGTTATTTAGTTAGTTAATTACTTTCATTTCATGAATATGCCTAGAGCCCTTTTCAGTTTGTAAACATGTTGACATTTGTTTATTTACACAATAAACAAAAAAACTAAAATAAAAATAACAGCAACAACTAGTAGGGTGCTACAAATACAGGTCTTCCATTTTTTTCATACATTTGAATGAGTTACATAACAAGTCCATTTCCACCATCATGTTTTACATTTATGTGCTTCCAGTCAATTAGCTTGTTTTTAAACAATGACTGGAGAAAATCCGATATTATCTTAATGAATAAGGTCACTCAGTGTCCAGGACCGCGATAGTTATTTCCAAAAGTTATTTTTAACGGACAGAACCAGATTGGTCGACCCGTCCTACACGCTCACTCAATGCATGGACGATCTGACAGGATTAACGTACGTTACCTCGGTTGAGTGGCCTGACTTCTACACCTACCTTATAGAGAAACCGATCGACATATAAATCTTTAGATGCCTATATGGTCCTGTAGAAGACTTGTGTGTACGATCCGCAGTTCTGCCGAGCCAGCGCCGAGACCACGACAATGAGTGACATTATAGTGCGATTTTAATGGTGTGAATATTTTCTAGAAATAAGAATTCCAGTTACAGCATATTCATTTTTCAGTGATACTTACACCAAACAACACAACAAGATGACATTTAATAATAATAAAAGTAATTTAAGCTCCTTATTATGTAGCCGAATCTGTGCTGGTTTGTATTGACCGCCTCCAGTTTTTACTTTGTTTTGCCTCCAGCTAGTGCCGTGACCTTACTGTGACGTCGGCGCAAAAGGGGTCTATAGTGACCAAAATGATCTCGGTTATACACAGAATCTTGTTTAAAAAGCCTAATACACAATTAAATCAATTCACCAAGTTAATAACATCAAAGATGATGGCCAAATTTCAAAGGAGTTTCTTTTATGTTTTCTACTAACATGCCCACGTTCAAATAAACGATTGGAAAAAAAGGTTTTATAAAAAGATAAACCTCACATATTTCAGCATTTAAATCATCTTTATAAAAGAATGAGTCAATAAAGATACATTCTTGACATTTATAATGCACAATAGCTTATCTTTTATTACCAATAGTAAAATTCGGTCTGATTTTCCCATGGCTGTCGTTGCTATACACCCATGCACTGCGCTCTCCACAACGACAGAGAAGTTTTAGTAGCGAATGTATTTCCACCACAGAAAAACGCTTGCTGTAGCTCTGCTAAAAGAGTTATTTACGGAGAAGAGAAAAAAACACCCACTGAAAAGTTTACAATTTTTCATCTCGTTGCTCCTTGAAAAAATGAGCGTGTCGCTTCAATAATGAGCGCTCTTCCCGTGCGCCTACATTTGAAATAACGACCTCGAGCGCGCTAAAGACGCGATAAGTGAACGCTTGGTGAGCTCCTCCAATCAGGAGACCCCCTTGACATCGCTTCTGTGCACGCCACCTTCTCTTCTTGTGCCTCTCAATGCGCGGTCTCGCTAAGGGGTGCAAGACCGTAGGGTGTCCCGATCCTCTAATAGTGTTCTCCAGGGGTGATCATAAGGGCACTTAATGCACCCTTTTCACAAGTGCGCATCAGACCTCACTTTGCTATGGGATATTACCCAGAATCCTTGTAGTGTTGTGACATTTCGAACAGCTAACCAATGGGGGCGAACGGTTGCTATGGTGCTGTCCGGGAGCGGAAACTCCGAAGATAAAGGAAGCCGGTGTGGTGGAGTGTTCTTCCAAGGCCGCGAAATGTAAAAATATTAGTGTCATTGAGTCACGAAATGTAGTTTTAAGAGTTTTTCACTCAAGAATATAGTTGTTTAAAGCTCAAATCTGTGGTTTATTTATAAAGATAGCGCCTATTTAAAAACATTATCTGATGTTTTCGGAGTTCCAGGTGATCACCGGGCGGCGGGTGCTCAGCGCTCTGTACCCCGCCTGCAACAGCCTTACATCGGCCAGTCATTCTGACGTTTCCCGCGTGCTCTGTGTCTAGTGGTTAAACGTGAGCTATAAATCGGCTGGTGTATATCTAACGGGCGATCTTTGGTCTCATTAATATGTTATTTGTTTCCTGCCAAATCGTGGGGAAAGTGAAGTTTTATAACTATATTTAGGCTATTTAACTGTAACGTTAGCCTGTCATATTTGACTGAATCTTTTAACTTGCCTTATTTCTTGACTTATATAGCTTCTTATACTTTTTAGTAGGGCTGGGTATTGACACAAATTTCACAATTCGATTTGATTTCGATTCACAAGCTTGCAATTCGATTCGATTGGATTCGATTCAATATTGATTATTTTGGATATCAGTTACAATAAATGGCAAATTTTCTCAAGGAAATCAAATCTCTGAACTAATGCTGTAAACTATAGGAGTCTAGTTGTATCCTGCTGGGCTTCATTAGCCTAATATGAAGGTAATAATGAACTGTTTTGTAGCTATACAAACACTTAAATTACACTTTTATTTATTTTTATAATAAGAAGATTATATGAAATATAAACATTTAAATTTATTGTATTTGCCATTTATTACTTGGAAAGAATATCATATTGGCTGGCCTCATCTCATTTAACTTTAAATATTAAAAAAAAAAAACTCTATCTGTTTCTCTATTCAAAAAACTACCCTCAGTACAACTCCTGAACATAAAAATTAATGGTGAACTTATCGAACAAGTACCTGAAGTAAAGTACCTTGGAATAAATATAGATTATCAGCTGAATTTCAAAAGTCACATTAAGAAAATCTATAAAACCGTTAGGGCCAATTTGAGCTGCTTTATGCTGATTAGAAATTGTCTTACTCTTGATTGTGCTTTTATTTTTTTTAACTCTGTGATTCTTTCACATATATCTTATGGCATAACCACATGGGCTGCGTCCAAAACCGCATACTCAATTAGTAGGTACTTAATTTCAATAAGTACTTACTCAACGAGCGCTAAAAGAGTAGGTACTTTATAGCCAAATCTCGTTGAGTATGAATGAGAACCGGACATCTGCCATGTTGACGTTATCATGTGACCTACTACGACGCGTTATCATCATATCACAAGCGCAAAGAAATGAACAGCGACACGTTTAATTCTTCTATCTATAAATATCTTGACATTGATGAAACTTTCTCATTTTGTTGTGGTATTGTTGAAGAAACAGCTGATATTTTTTTTATTAAGAAACCCCCAAATCGTCACCTCTTGAATATATGTTGTTAATTTCTTTATTTTATACCCAAAACGTTTCTCCTTTAAGTTTTCCTCCTTTTCTTGATGAATTTACCTCGTTTCATCCCTCAGACCTATAACAACAAAACAACATTTTTCATGTATTATGAAGAACTATTTAAAGATATTTAGCCTTGTTATTGTTCCTTTTTCCTGTATTATGATGTAAACAAACCAATGATCTTTATGTTTTCTGTTTTGTCATTATGACTATTATGGTATCTTTCCATGATCTTGTATGTAATACGTTTATAAGTTTAAATTATGAGTGACAGGTGTACTAACACTTCATAACATCAGTGACTCGACAGCACAACCTAGAACAGTTTTCCTCTGCGTTTGTAATGTCTGCACAAAGGAGACGGGCAGCTGCTCGAAGATCTCTTTTGGAGAAAACTGTTGATTTTATACTCGAAAAATGTAAGTATCACTCCTTAAAAATTAATATTACCTCAGAATGAATTGCATTGTTAGCCCACCCCAAAACTTAAACAAAATAATAATATTAAATGCTGACCAATACTTAATTATATAACTTTTTTATATACTAAAAATATAATTTAATATAACAAGCAAAATGTAATTTGTTTTGTCATATGACAGTTATGCATGAATACATTTATATTCATAAATGCAGTGAAACATCTCAATTATCAGTCAATCGATGAATTAATGGATACATTAATTAAATAATTCAATTTTATATACTGACAACAATAATAAAAATGAATAAATGAGTAAAAGAACAAATAAAAGTAACCATCACAATAAACAAATGCATTATACAACCCAGATAGCAACAAAGTCTGGGCCGAGTCTGGCTTATATTCGGCACTTCTGGCTTAATTCTGGCACTGTTTTTTTCACACTCTTGTGTCAAACAGTACTAGGCTAAGCTCTGGCTGGAGTCTGGCTAACCAAAAGAAACAAATCAAATTGTATCTGTTTGGCTAAGCTTTGGCTTGAGTTCGGTCTGCCAGAATAAGGAAATTTTTGGCTGAGATCTGGTTGGGTTTTGGTTGGCTGAGCAAATAACAGACCTCATGAAAGTGCTGTACTGTAAAATAGCCGTGTAAGATGTGGTGTTAAATTGGTTCATATTTTAGACATAATTATAATGCAACCTCATAAATAGGGTTAATTTTGTTAAAAATAATAAAATGAAATAAGTTTGTTATAGACCTAGTTATAAATACATATAGATATGTATGCAAATAGTTCTCTTTTACACATAAGTAGGCAGGTTTTAAGGAAAGAAGCCTTGATTATTCTATTGGCAAGATTATTTTAATGGGGGGGTTAAGGAGGTGATAATGTGCAGATTGCAGAATGGAAAAAAAGATGTTTGCAAAATGACTGAAGACAAACGGTTCAGTCTGCAGCATAGACAAAAGATTGAATGGAACTGAAAGAGTACTTTGTGGTTATCCAAATGGTAATCAATATGCCACACACACACACACACACACACACACACACACACACACACACACACACACACACACACACAAAAAAAAAAAAATTCACTTTTTGGGGAATTTATTAGGTAGCCTACAGATGTACTACAAAAACCCATGGTTAAACTATGATTTTTTGAAGCAAAAACCACCCATGCTTTGAGTTTTCACAATTCCTCAATAAAAAAATTATATAATCTCCATAAAATAGCCTATACATAGCCTATTGTAAGTATTTGGAGAAGAAACATTTATGTTCTCCACGTAAACCATTGAAATCGGTTAAATAAAACGTGGTTCTGTTTTTAAAAATCTCCGGGAAACTTGCGTGTTTTTAGAGCAGTGTGAGCAAACCACGCGGCAGTCGATGCGACGTCTGTGGCTGCTGATACAATCTGGTTTGCAATGCATCATGGAAATTGTAGTTGATTTACATGTACAGTGTTAAATCCGCTTTGCAAAAAGACTACTTTTCCCAGAATGCACCCAGTGACACCATCCCGCCTACCAGAGGATCCGGAAGTTGCGTAGCAGCTATTCAGCAACTCAACGCAGTCGCGGTGAAATTCAAATAACTAAGTTAGTTGTTCTAACTTCGACAATCACGCTGTGTTGGTTTTATCTTTTGAAGTTTTAATACATGATCAAGGTAAGTTTATAGTTTTTCACTATCTTAACACGTGGATTTTAATCTATAGCGCATTACTACATACGATTTTTGGGGGGTTTGTGTGGTTGGATTTTATTTGTTTTTATGTTGGAGAGGAAATAGAATTGATGTTTGAATTCTGTTTTTCATTGAAAATTAACATTATAGTGAAGAACATCGGAAGCTGCTTCTTGCTGAACAACAGCTGATCTTTCTGAGGCCACCAAAACGGAAAATAAAGTAAGATTGATTATTTTTTAACGTTAATTCATTAACATAGACCTTTCTTACAGGTCCTTATATATTTGTGCAGTTTAACACATTATAATGCACATTTCTTTTTGAATTGCAAAAAGGGAATTTGTCACTGAATAGTCTTTACATGACCATACCACACTTTCTTAATCAAATTTAGTAATCATTAAAAAAATGTACCTTTCCTAAAGATGAAACAGGCGACTAATGGATGAAAATGACCCCGATGAGGAGGCTACTGCAGCCATGGCAAGTAGAGAAGTTCACAAGACCTCACAGAACATCGCAGGCAACAGGATTTAACTTTACAGTCTCACAGACAGGCAATACAGTCACCATGGCATCATGAAACACCCAGACCACAGAGAAAAAGCCTCTCAAGTGATGACCGATTAATAAGATGTAAGATTTCATTTAGTATTTTTAATAAGATGTAAGATTTCATTTAGTATTTTTCATCATATATTCACTGTTAGTGTAAGGATACTATAGCATGTCATAGCAGTGGTGGTGTGGCATGCATGACACATTTACACTTTTGCTTTACTGTTTGTGTAAGAGCCATTATGTTCATTTAATGTCTGTTGTATTTCCACTGGTGAACACTGGGTGGAGTATGGGTTTTATTTGGTATAAAGGTAACCAACGAGTAAGAGAAGCCAGGTGTAATGGGAAGCAAACAATTTTTGACCGTGTCAAGATCAAGAGAGGACATGATAACTGGTGATGGCAAGCTGTTTGAGCATCTGAGCTGAAACCAAAATAAACTGTGTAAATGAAGTACTGGACTGAAGTGAGTTTGTTTAGGAGCCACGCGTCAGATATCCCTACAAACACCTCTGAGTGACAAGATGGTCAATTGTCGCTACATTTTGTCAAAAATTGCTTCTTTGTGGATTATCACGCATCACTTTTGGAACTTTTGAGCTTTCTATGGATTCCGATGAGGTTTGGATTAATTGGACCGGACGTGATTTAAGGACCAGTTGCGACGAAGTGAGCTAATGGATTCAAGGTATGTTTAGCGCTACATATGAAGTGTGCACACTTTTAATAGCGTAAATCCAATGCATTGGTTGCTGACAAGTTACTGACAAGGGAAATGAACTTGGCACACTGTGAAAATGAGTGTGAATAACGGTGTTGAAGAGGTTATGGCGGCTGGTAAACAAACAGAGACAAGTGTACCGGTTGAAAGGATTGAGGTTGAGTCCGTGAAAGAAAAACGGCGTATCAAACTTACTCCAAAGGCATTATTAGAAAAATTGGAAGCATTGCAGAAAACAAGAACAACTAAAGTCAAAAAAGCAAACAACTTGATGGTTATTATAAAAGATTTTATGCTTAACCGAGAGTATGAAAAGGAAGTGCAATGTTCTTTTGGGAAATTCATAAGATTGTGTGATGAAGCAAGAGAAGTGCACAATTCTGTGATGGTTCTTTTGCCCAATGACGAACAGGAAAAGCAACAAACATGGTTCAATGGAAAGATGTTAATTTTCAGTGGGTTCAAAGATGATGTTCAAAAATGGTTGAATACTGAAAGTCAAGTTTCACGTTCCGGTGTCGATGGTGATGCTTTTCAAGAGGACATTCAACCAAATGATAGTGTTTCAAACATTTCCTCACGTGGGTCAAGTAAACCATCAAGTGGAAAAGGTTCTAGCAGTGTGCGTACTGGGAGATCTTCTGCTTCTTCAGCACGAATTATAGCAGAAGCAGAAAAGGCTGCATTAATTGCACGTGCAACTGCTTTAAAGGAAAAACATGCTTTGGAGGTACAACAGGAACAACTGAGGCGAAGACAAGAGCAAATGGATATTGATGCAGAAATCGCTGCTGCTACTGCTAAAATTGCGGTTTTAAACAACTCTGATAATCAGCATCCTAAAACCCTTTCTGATGGTATGAATGCATATTATGATACAGGAACTACAAGGAGCGGCAAAGAAGTTACTCTTAACCCTCATGTTGAGGAATATAAGCCAAGGAATGTGATTCAGCAAACTCACAGTGCACTGCAATCTGATCTTCATTCTGTTTCACAAATGCAAACTTCAAGTGTAATACAGAACAGTAATGGAACATCAACGTCAAACATCTACAGTATAATGCAAAAGCAAAATGAGATTACTGCTCTTCTTGTACAACAGCATCAAGCCAGCACACTGCCTCAAAGAGATATTAATGTGTTTGATGGTAATCCTTTGCAATATAGAACTTTCATCAGAGCTTTTGAACATGGAATAGAGGACAAAACCAGTAATTATCGAGATCGTTTGTACTTTCTGGAACAATATACGCAAGGTCAACCTAAGGAACTTGTGCGCAGTTGCCAGCACATGGATCCACAAAGAGGATATGTGCAAGCTAAAGCATTGCTAAAGGAACATTTTGGTAATGAGTTCAAAATAGCCACTGCATATATAGAGAAAGTACTTGGATGGCCTTCTGTAAAATCAGAGGATGTAAGTTCATTGCATAGTTATGCTCTTTTTTTGCGTGGATGCTGTAATGCTATGGAAGAAATTGAGTATATGAAGGAGCTGGAGATGCCAAGCAATTTAAAAATAGTCATCATGAAGCTGCCTTATAAATTAAGGGAAAATTGGAGAACTGTTGCTTGTGAACTAATGGAAAGGCACAATCGAAGAGCGCAGTTCAGGGACATTGTTACATTTGTTGAACGTCAAGTCAAAATGTCATCTGATCCATTTTTTGGTGATATTCAGAGTACTCAAACTGTGCAGCAGAAACCTCAACCTAGGAATACAATTAGAAACAGCTTTGCAACAACGGTTGTTACCAACAACAAATCAAGTCAGTGCTGTGTGTCTGATTTCAGATCAAATTCCCAAGTTATATGTTTGTACTGCAAACGTGATCACTTATTGGAGCAGTGTACACAAATGCAAAGCAAGATGCACAATGAAAAGCTGAACTTTCTAAAGGAGAAAGGTATTTGCTTTGGCTGTCTTTGTGTTGGACACATGAGCAGAGACTGTGATAAGCGCTTGACTTGCACAATATGTGCCCAAAGGCATCCCAGTATTCTGCATATTCAACAAAAGGAGAGAGAGTGCACTCAAGGACAGGACCTTCCACCACTAGGAAATGCCTTTGTCCAAAGTGCCCTTCAAGCATATGGTCAAACAGGGGCCGGTGATGGAGAATGTGCATTATCAATTGTACCAGTTAAAGTTAAGTCCTGTAAAGGACAAAAGGTAATTCAAACATATGCATTCCTTGATCCTGGAAGTTCTGCTACCTTTTGTTCAGAACATTTAATGCATCGTCTGAAATTAAAAGGAAGGAAGACTAATATTCTTTTGAAAACAATGGGCGATCAAAGATCTGTTAGTAGTTCCATTTTGACTGGTTTGGAAGTGTCTAGCCTTTATGATGACATATTTTACAGTCTTCCGGAAGTCTTCACTCAGGAGAAAATGCCTGTGTCCAAAGAGAACATTGTCACTGAAGGGGATTTACATAGATGGCCATACCTGAAAGGTGTTAAGATTCCCCAAATTCCTGCTGATGTGGATTTGCTAATTGGAGCAAATGCTTCCAAGGTAATGGAGCCCTGGGAGGTTAAAAACAGTGATGGAGAAGGACCTTATGCAGTTAGAACTCTACTTGGATGGGTTGTCAATGGACCTCTCCAAGGAAGAAAGGACAATGGGAGCACAAGTGAAAGGACGAATATTACTGTTAATAGGATTTCTGTTGACAAGCTGGAGGAGATGCTCAATAAACAGTATAACCATGACTTTAACGAGATTGCTTCTGAAACCAAAGAAATGTCAAGAGAAGATCATGCATTTATGGAAAAGGTAAATGGGTCAATTAAGCTTCAGGATGGACACTACAAATTGAATCTTCCATTCAAAAGGGAAAATCCCATGTTGCCAAATAACCTTTGTGTGGCTAAACAGAGACTCGTGGGATTAAAGAGGAAATTGGACAGAAATAAGACGTTTCATCAAGAATATAGTACTTTCTTGGATGAGGTCATCAGTCAAGGTTATGCTGAAAGAGTACCATTGCATCAGTTAAAACAGGATAAAGGAAAGGTTTGGTATATCCCTCACCATGGGGTCTATCACCCTAAGAAAGGAACGTTAAGAGTGGTATTTGACTGTGGAGCTGCTTTCAAAGGTACATCGCTTAATGATCAATTGCTGCAGGGCCCTTGTCTGACAAATTCACTTTTGGGAGTTCTTGTGAGGTTTCGACAAGAGCCTATTGCATTTATGGCTGATGTGAAAGCGATGTTTCATCAGGTCAAAGTTGCCACAGAGGATACAAATTTTCTTCGTTTCTTGTGGTGGCCAGATGGTGACTTGAAGCGAGAACCTGTGGAATACAGAATGAACGTCCATTTGTTTGGAGCTGTGTCATCCCCAAGTTGTGCTTGTTTTGCACTACGTAGGACCGCAGAAGATAATAAGTTCAATTTTCCAGAAAAGGTCATTGACACAATTCATGCCAACTTCTACATGGACGACTGTCTGAAAAGTGTAGCTTCAGAGGAAGAGGCCATATTGATGATCAAAGATCTCACAGCTGTGTGTTTAACTGGAGGTTTCCAATTGACCAAATGGGTCAGTAATAGCCGTTCTGTGCTACAAACTGTACCTGAAGAACACCGAGCACATGGCATAAAAATTATGGATTTGGACCAGGATCAACTACCAGTGGAGAGAGCTCTTGGTTTGTTGTGGTGTGTTCAATCAGATACTTTCAAGTTTAAAATGAACATCAAAGACAATCCTTGCACCAGACGTGGTGTTTTGTCGATTGTGTGCTCTGTGTATGATCCTTTAGGATTCTTGGCACCATTCACACTTACAGCAAAATTGCTTCTGCAAGAACTATGTAGAACAAGATATGGATGGGATGATCCGCTACCCTCAAATCTTCAAAAACAATGGTCTTTATGGTTAAAAGAGCTTAAGAGGATTGCAGATTTTGAGGTGAATAGATGTTTAAAGCCCACAGGATTGGACCAACTTACCAACATTCAGTTGCATCATTTCTCTGACGCAAGTACACTTGGATTCGGTACTGTAACATATCTTAGAATGGAGACAAACAAGGATGTCCATGTTCATTTCCTGCTTGGCAAATCAAGAGTAGCGCCATTGAAGCATGTGACAATTCCACGTCTTGAACTGACAGCCGCTGTACTTGCTGCTCGAGTGGATAAGATGTTGAGGGCAGAGTTACAGTTTCCATTGGTGGAATCAGTATTTTGGACAGATAGTACATCCGTGCTAAAATACATAAAGAATGAGGACAAACGTTTTCTGACCTTTGTGGCCAACAGGATCTCTTTTATAAGAGAAGTTACAAGACCGTCACAGTGGAGATATATATCTACATCTCAAAATCCTGCCGACTGTTGTTCAAGAGGTATGAAAGCAGACCAGCTGTTATCAAGTGAAGAATGGATCAGTGGACCACACTTTCTATGGAAACCGCAGGAAGAGTGGCAAGTGCAAATAGTTGATTCTACTCTTAAGGTCAATGATCCTGAGGTAAAGAGGAACATGATTGTGAACACCATTGGTGTAAATGAAGTGTCGAGTGCAACAAACGCCACTCATAGACTGATTGTACACTTCTCAGACTGGCTAAAGCTGAAAGTTGCTGTTGCCTGGTTTTTGAAGCTAAAGAAAGTTCTTAGGCAACGGAGTCAAAGGCGAAAAGAAATCAAAACCTCTTTAGATTCCTTGGGTGTATTGCCATCTTCCAAGAAATTAGAGAATGAGCTTCAAACGCTAACATTCTCAACGACTACAAGGAATTTAACTTTGGAGGACCTAATTGAAGCAGAATCCGCTATTGTTGCATTTAGTCAACAGCAACAGTTTGGAAAGGAAATTGCTGCCTTATCAGCTTCATCTGAGTTAAGAGTAAAACGAGACAGCAAGTTGTACAAGTTGGATCCTGTCTTTCAAGATGGGTTAATAAGAGTTGGAGGACGACTGAGGAATGCTGCTATGCCTGAGGAAAGGAAGCATCCTATTATTCTTTATAAAGATCAGCACTGTGCCACACTTATTTTGCGGCATATTCATCAACAATTGGGTCACAGCGGAAGAAATCATATGCTTTCCAAGCTGAGAAAGAAATATTGGATCATTAAAGGTAATGCAGCTGCTAGAAAAATCATATCTAATTGTGGCCATTGTAGACGTCATGGAGTTAAAGCTGGTGAGCAGAAGATGGCTGACTTGCCAAAAGAGAGACTCATTCCCGACCTTCCTCCATTTACGAACGTAGGAGTGGATTATTTTGGTCCTGTAGAGGTCAAAAGAGGACGCTCCATGGTGAAACGTTATGGGGTCATCTTTACTTGCATGGCAAGTAGAGCAATTCATCTGGAAGTTGCTTATTCCTTGGACACTGACGCATGCATTAATTCTCTACGCAGATTTATTTGCAGACGAGGACAAGTTGTTCAAATAAGATCAGATAATGGTACCAACTTCATTGGAGCAGAAAGAGAGTTAAGAGAATCACTTAATTCATGGAATAAGAGCCAGATTCAAAAGGCAATGCTTCAGGAAGGTGTTCAGTGGAGTTTCAATCCTCCAGGGGGCTCACATTATGGAGGAGTGTGGGAGCGTATGATCAAAATGGTCAAGAAAATTTTGAGTTCTATCTTACATCAACAAACTCTGGATGATGAGGGATTTCATACTGTGTTATGTGAAATTGAGGCCATTTTAAACGATCGTCCAATAACAAAGCTGTCAGATGATCCTAATGACCTAGAGCCACTTACTCCAAATCACCTTCTTCAAATGAAAGGCAAACCAGTTCTACCACCTGGACTCTTTGACCAATCAGAGTTATACAGCAGGAGGAGATGGAAACAGGTCCAATACATGTGCGACTTATTCTGGAGAAGATGGACAAATGAATATTTGCCTTTGCTTCAAGAGCGACAGAAATGGAACAAGGAAAGGAGGAGCTTTGCTCCTGGTGATATTGTAGTCATTGTGGACTCTACAGCCCCACGTGGATCCTGGTTGATGGGACGAGTCTTGGAAGTTTTTCCTGATAAAAATGGACTTGTACGTTCTGTGCGAGTACAAACTAAAACCAGTGTACTTGAGAGACCTGTGACCAAGCTTTGTCTATTGTACAGCCTGGAAAAGTAAGGACTGATTGCAAGGACTTTACGCTATAACAAACAGAAGATTGTTCAAGTACCATGTCATATAGAGTCGCTTTGGACTTTAATGGCTCTTTGCATAATTATTGTATTGAATTGTAATGTCTATCTGTCATGTACAATTAGGGGCCGGAGTGTAAGAGCCATTATGTTCATTTAATGTCTGTTGTATTTCCACTGGTGAACACTGGGTGGAGTATGGGTTTTATTTGGTATAAAGGTAACCAACGAGTAAGAGAAGCCAGGTGTAATGGGAAGCAAACAATTTTTGACCGTGTCAAGATCAAGAGAGGACATGATAACTGGTGATGGCAAGCTGTTTGAGCATCTGAGCTGAAACCAAAATAAACTGTGTAAATGAAGTACTGGACTGAAGTGAGTTTGTTTAGGAGCCACGCGTCAGATATCCCTACAAACACCTCTGAGTGACAAGATGGTCAATTGTCGCTACAGTTTGTATGAATTTAATGTATTGCTTGGTTTCTGTTGCTTTTTAGTACGGTGGCTGAGCGGTCTCAACATTCTGCAACAGAAGAAAATGGATGCAAACAGAAAAAAAACCCTGTAAAATAAGAACATCTTTATCACATGTGCTAAAACACAACCAAATACATAAATGCTCTCCAAATGTCCGACCCACAAATAATCTACTCGACAATGGTGTTCATTGTTTTATTTTTATTATTATTTATTGTTTGCATTGTATTTGCAGCATGTGTGTTGTGAAACTGATGTCTTGACTTGCTGGTGTTTTTCTTGTTTGCATGTTTTCTTCTGTTGCAGGACTTTGAGATCTCTCGGCCAACATATTTTTGTTAATTTTTGTATCTCATTATTTAAGAATGCCACATACACATTTTTGTAACATTTTAATTTATTGCTGTCTTTTTATTATTCTTGTAATGTGAATTATAGTTATATTTTGTTTTGTCTTACTCTAGTATTGGCTTGTATTTTGTTGTTTATCCTTTTATCTGGCTGAGATTTTCTTCCCTTCTCAATAAAATATTGTTCTTTGCATTTCTGTAGTGTCATTTTTTTATTATACCTTGTTTTACACAGGAATAATTTCTGGTTCAGTTTTGGGGACTCTGGTATAATATTGGCCCAGTTATGGCTGTTTTCTGCAGCTTCTGGATAAGATGTGGCTGAGTTCTGGCCTAAAGGTGGTGGCAGTTTGGCTTTTGTCTGGCTGACATATGGGGAGTACGGCGTTGTTTTGGCCCAGTTCTGGATAATATCTGGGTACACTGCAAAGCTATGGGCGAGTTTTGGTTTGCTCACGGCTTTGATCTGGTTGACTTACGGCAAACAGCACTTGGGCCAACCTTGGCCCGTAATTCCATGCGGTATGTGGGCCAAAATCTCAGCCGAAATTAAGCCAGATCCGGCCCAAGGCCAATTTGCTATCTGGGAAGTCAACAAAACATGAAACAAAGCTTTATTCAAACTACAAGCATGTATTTACAGGGCTGAACACCACATCCTAATGCCGTCTCAACACAGCGGTTCCCATTCTGCGGCTTTATTCTGATGAATTCACCAGAGGGGACTGTGCCTTCGTCCCAGAGCTTGTTGCTGCGCTGCGCTTCACAATCTGAGGCAATAAGGGCAGGTGGAGAGATGGAGGGACTCATCCATGGCACCACTTCCAGGATGCAGCTCTAGGCTCCTCATCCTCAGTGCTCACACCAGTCTGCAGACATTTCAGATCCTACAAAAATCCACAAACATTATACAAAAGCAGTAATTTTAACACAATGTCATTTGATTTATGTATTAAAAATAACCTTACTTTATATTTGAGTAAAATCCCTAAAACAAATGCTGCCATCATCTTTCCTTGCAGGTCCTGCTCCACCACAAAAGCTATGCAGCAAATGCACAGAAATCAAGAATCAGAAAAGTGTTGTAATTTCTCTACTTGAAATTTGTACAATAATTCAAATAAACTACAATTTAAGATTGAATAGATTTTGTTATCCATTTCTGTAGTATACTCACTCAGAGCCTTTGATGACAGCATTCAGCATCATGAGCCTCTCTCCACCGGATAAACACACGCGTGTTCTTCTGTCCCTGTAACATACAGACAAGATTCACATTACGAGTTCAACACTGAATTTACATGCTGAGGTTGATGTGTTAACTCACTTTTAATCCAACTTAAATGTTCCTCAATATATCAACACTAATAAGGGACAAATTAAATATAACATATTTAGTTACTTTATAGATTTGTTTATTTACCTTATTTACAGTAGGCCTACATTTGTGTAATGTAAGTAGTGTTGACAACAGTGAATTATCCTTCATATTAATAGCACACATAACGTTACATCACTCAGATGTATTTTTCATGTTGGGATGTGCTCATCTGCAATACTTAAACAATATTTTCATTTCAGATGTAAATAGACATTTTAAATAAGCGTATTTAAGATGTAACGTTATATGGTTATGTAAATCCATTTTAGAAACTTACGTGTAGCGTACTTACTGGAGCTCCCCAGTTTAACTAACTAATAAAACATGTGTTTACAGCAAAATCACAACTATACTATACTGTCTAAGTCCTTTAGACCTTCAACAGTTAAAACGTTTACTCTATAGTAGTTTAACACATACGATTTAAACACAAGAAACCGTGTTTACTCACATTTGAAAACCCCTGCTGATCTCCGATGTTGATAATGACGTATGCTCTCCCGTGGCCTCCTGGGATAGAAGAGTATCCATCGGATGAACACTCAAAAATCGGGGCGAAAGCAGGAGATCATCCGGGAACTTCTCGCCTACTCTTTTATGAGTACTGAGGTTTCGGACATACTACTCCTTTCAAATACTGTTTCCCCCTACTATATAGTACGAAAGTAGGAATATTCGGACGTACTATAAGTATACGTATGCCCGAATCTCGCGATAATTAGTACGTCACTCTGGTAATTCTCGCCTACTCTTTTATGGATACTAAGGATTTGGACATACTTATTCGCTCGCCTACTGCTTTTTCCATACTATATAGTAGGGAAGTATGCGGTTTCGGACGCAGCCATGGTCTCAAGCTCATCAGTCATCTGTCGAAACTATAGAGTGCCTTTACAACAGAGCCTTGAAAGTTTTGGATAAGAAAAGAATAAGGCACCATCATTGTCATATTCAAAGCAAATACAAGATTTTAAGTTTTGTTAATTTTATTTCTCTGCATCTGATTAAGCTGATCTTCAAATGTTTAAATGATGCTGCTCCACTACCGCTTTGCAAAATAATAACAAGACAACAAAGTACTAGACTGACCAGATCTGCTTTTAAAGTCAACTGTAACATCCCTTTCTGTTGAACATCATTTGCTCAGACTGCTGTTTCAGTGAAAGGGGCAAAACTGTGGAATTCTCTGAAATGCATCCCGACACTAGATATCTTCAAAAAAACAAACAAATTGTGGTTAATTCAGAAACAGTGTTGTTCGCATATTTAGTTCTTGTCGACTCTGCCTTTTTTGTAATTTTTTTTTCCTTTTTTTTTGGCATTTATATTATATTCCATTATTTTTCTTTCTACTAGTATTTTTATTCTTGTACTGCATTTTATCAAAAAGCCCTTATTGTTTTGTATTGCTAGTGTATTGTATTGCATGTATTGCATTTTACTAAAAAAGCCCTTCTAGGGACTAATGTTGTAAATTAGCTTTGGCTAAAAACATTGATACATGCATCAGATCACTGTCAAAGTGTATCTGTATCTGTCCCTATCTAAATAAACTATAATAATAATAATAATAAATGGTGGCTGTCATAAAAACTTGTCAGATTTATTCAAATATGCATTAAATATTGAAGAACATTAAGATTATAATGTATATATTTAGCAAAATGCTCCTCTCTAGAGTTATTTTTTCTAGCTGACTAACGAGTTTATGTGGGTTTTCTGAGGTAAATATGACGATACATTGATTTCAAGCTGTTTAACTGACGTCTTTCCACGGTTGAAACGCTGATTGAGCGAATCAATGTGACATGATCTGGATTTGGATAAGTTGTACTCTATCTTTAACACACTTTCAGATGCTCATTCATGTTTATTTGGCGCTGTGACTGGTATTATTAAGCCGGAAGAGAGATCAGCGCTGCTGCTTCTCCAGAGCGATCTCACGCCACAGCGACAAAACGCTATTTATGTTTTTAAATTTCTAAAGAAAATGGACGTAACTTGACTTTGTTTCATATCAATAGTAACAAAGGACAAAGATTTTTCGGATGCGCGCAGCCGCGATACAATGATCCATTCATTCAAATGAAACAGGATGACTAATCGATTGGTTGGTAGCTACAGTAAGAGTAAAAAAAGATATTGATTTTTTCATTCAAAGGATAGTGTCATGTTACAGCTATTATAAACAGCACACACATTAGCCAACTGAACCGTGTTTGCTGATCACAACAGAACTGAAGTAGATTTTTGACGTGTGCAAAACTGTCCCAATTCTGCTCTTCACAGCTTTGGGCCCTTGCACACTTTCTCCGCTAAGTGCACTCTCAACGAGTGTCCACTTCGAGGAAGGCCTTAGGGCGTAGTATGGGTATTGGGACAGGGCCTTAGATTATGGATCTCAGAGGGAAGGGAACAGCATTACAATGCCATGAGCATACTGTTCTCCGATAGCTTTAGCTGGGAGTTGCCTAAGAGAAAGTTTATATTTTGTAGTCCGAGCTCAATGATGCAGAAGTTACGAGAGGGCAAGTCAAAATGTTCGGTTGTTGGATGTACGTTAGTGACCTGAAGCACTTCAAGGATTCCCGCCAGTAACGTTATACAGAAGGGTTTGCCGATCGACTTCGTCTGAATGAGAGGTAACGTTAAATTCCTTCTTTCTTTGGAGACGACGAACAGAGCATGTCGATAAGCTGTAAATATCGTTAATAAAAATAAAGTACTTTACTTTCTTAAAACACATGGTGGTCATGGTTTAGCAGTACCTTTGTCTTTCTTTGTTTTGGTTTTGAAGTAACGTTACACGTCTGCAGTATTATTGTTCTTGAGTTTCATCAATGCTCATTTAGCTGCTTTTCTAAACGCATCATATTATCAATACAGATGTTTGTGGTAAGATTAGACCGTAGTCATTTATCTTGTCAGTGTGCTTGTTTTAACAAGAGAAATAGTCGACTTTCACTAATAACACAATACAGTTAACTCACATACCAATACATCCATATGATGAAGAGGTTGTTCTGCAGGTTCGTCGTCGTCTTTATCGACTCGCTCGCTCTGGCTCGAATATGTAAGGCTTGATGGACAAGTCTTCTGTTGTTGACATTTTATTAAAGTGTGAATAAAAATGTTCTTTGACGCTTCTAGTATATAATCATATATCTCTAATCAAACTACAATAATGGCCGAACGTGGGGAGTTGAACTGACCGTGAACTCATGGACCTGGAGAGCGGGCGGGGTGTGACGCATCTCCTGTTTATTTAAAGGGGCCGCTTTGAAACGGGTCGCTCACAGACGCACATCAGAAAAGGGGCCTGTGTGGAGCTATAATAATGAGGAATTCAGACCCAAGCATTGCAGTTATGCTTTATGTCACGTGTCTGTCCTGTCTTGTATTACACTTGGGTGTCTTTGTTATGTTGGAGCATGTGCTCTCGTTATTGTTTGATCCCTCCCCCTTGTTACCTGATTAGTGTTTGAGTTCTTCCACCTGTTCCCTCTTGATTTGTTCCCTTTTTAAGTCTCCTCTTGTTTGCAGTCCTTGTCGGATCGTTGTCATATGTTTCCCAGTTATGGTCGTCGTGGTCAGAGTAAGTGTTTGTTCTTCGAGTTCAGTTTTGTTTCATGTCCCATTTATGGTGTTTTCCCCCTTGTGGGTTTTTGCTTTGTGTTTTGTTTTCTTTTGTAAATAAATCATCCTTTTCTACACTTGAGTCCTCCCTCCACTTTTTGTAACTGTTCCGTGACAGCTTTATATAGACCACAACGGTATGATTTATATGTAAAAATGAATGATTTAAAAGCATGATATGTACCCTTTAATGGAATCCAAGAGACTGTAGTGGATAAACCTCAATTTTATGAAGTGACGTGTCCGCGCAAAAAAGCATAATTTACCACTTTACTTACAAAATATTATTCTATAACACACATTTTTGCAACAACTCATGGAAACACAAAACGTGTCGAGGTGCTCTTGTGGATGTGCGTTGGAGACTTTTTTTTTTAAACAAAGTGGTAAAATTGTGGTAAAAAAAGCACTTTTTGTTCTTCATAAAATTGAGGTTAAACCACTGAAGTCACATTAATGAGAACTTTACTACCTTTCTGGAGCTATAAAGTGGTAGTTGTGTGGGTTATCAACAGATTTGGTATGAAACAAGGGTGACAAATGAATGACAATTTTTGTTTCTGAGTGAACTAGCCATTCAAGAGTAGCACAAAAATCAAGCTTGGCCTGTTTATCAGACAGTGCAGATGTGTACTCAGTTCTCTGCGACCTCATCTAAGGGTACAGTTGATGCACTTGAGCTGCTCGAGTCAGATGTCTCGGATATGGAAGAGTAGTCTGAAAACTCTGAAGAATTAGAAAATCTATTAATGACCAGTGCAAGGAGCAGAGACATTAAATAGTTAATTTATTATATATTTATTCAGAGTGCTTGAATACCTTTCTCCTTTCAAATTCAATAAAACTTACCATCGTTCGAGAAAACGGTCAGCACCACATTGCCTTGTCCCACGAGGTCACTGTATTTCTTCAGTCCCCGTTGCTTGAAAGTCAAAGTCATGAAACTTTTGCATCCGGAGACCAGCAAAATCTCTCGATGACTGAACAACT